TGTATTTGTTTCAAAAAAATGTTCATAATTTTTGCTTCGATATTGAATACTTTAGTTTAAGATTTTTGTAATACAAAATTATGTTTAAGGCCAAAATTACCAAAATTAAAATTACAGACGTTTGAAATTTCATTTTGTTACTAAATGGTGTTAGTGTTTTTTAAATTTAAAATAATAAATGAGGTACATTACATACATAGCATTCTTAAATATATCTCAAAAACTACATACTTAAATATGAAGATATCAAAATCAAAGCCTCGATCTCGATTTGCGAGCATTGTTTTTTAACTTCCCGTAGGGTAAGTTATAGTAATCGTCCAAAAATCGAAATCAAAAATTTTTACATTTCTCGACGTTTTGAAGGTTTCTGAACATTTTGGCATACTTCAGAAAAAATGGATGTGTGTGTGTGTGTGTGTGTGTGTGTGTGTGTGTGTGTGTGTTTTGTATGTCCGCTTTTTTTCGTCCACGTTTTCGGGCGCACGGATCAACCGATTTGAATGGTTTAAAAAACATTCGATTCCTATCGATAGGGAGATGTGCTGATTAGTTTTTGGCAAAGGCAGGTCCAGCCGTTACGGAGATATGGAGCAAAGAGTGCAAAAAATAGAAAGCGAATTTTTGAGAGAACGGATCAACCGATTTGAATGGTTTAAAAAACACTCGATTCCTATTGATAGGGAGATGTGCTGATTAGTTTTTGGCAAAGGTAGGCCCAGAGGTTTCGGAGTTACAGAGCTAAATTTAAAAAAAATGGCTGTTTTTGAGAGAACTAAGCGTCCGATTTAAATGATTCAAAGAACTTTCTGCTTTTTTCAACAAAACAATTGATTTTGGAAAAAAAAAAATTTTGTTTCTAATTTTTTTTCAAAAAAATTTTTTTGTAATTTTGGACTAAAAATTCAAAAAATCACCCAAGCTAAGCACAGTCTAAGCGCCACTCTGGTACAAATGTTTACCCAAGTGCGTTTAGACTGTTTGTGTACTGGAGCACTTTTCCAATTTTGTGAAAATTATTGAAAAATGTGAAAATGCCGCCAAGCTGAGCACAGTATAAGTGAAAATATCGCACAGAATTATTTGCAAATGCGTTTAGACTGTGACTATGCGGGAGCACTTTTTCAATTTTGTGGAAATTTGGCAACTATTTTTTTTTTTTGAAATTTGATTCGAAATGAAATGACGATTGTTAATGTTCTGGAGGTGATAAATTGATTTATTTATAATTAACTTTCCGTAGGGTAAGTTATAGTAATCGCACAAAAATCGAAAATGAAAATTTTTATATATCTTTACGTTTCAAAGGTTTCTGAATATATTGGCATACCTTAGAGAAAATTGATGTATGTGTGTGTATGTGTGTGTGTGCGTGCATTTGTGTGTGTTCAGATACAAATTTTCGTCGACGATTTCGGGAATCGGGATGAAGCAATTTGAATAATTCAAAAACATTTTACTTGCATTATCAAGATGAAGATTTGATGAAATTTTTATGAAATTAGGTCTAGCGGTTTCGGAGATCTAGTAAAAAAAGTAAAAAAAAATAACATTTGGCGGTCAACAATAATCATTAGACATTAGACATATGCACATCAAATTATCAGATATTTTATAGAGATTTTAACAATGAGTATACATTTTGTTAACATTCCTATGGGTTCCGTACCAATGCTTATGCGTTAGACAGCGACGCGGCGCTTACGCGCTTCGATATTTAGTCTCTATGCATTAAAGCAGTACGATTGCTTTGAAAAAAAGTTCAAAATTTCCAAAATATTTCAAAATAAATTTTTCAACAAAAACTTTTGTCAAAAATTTATATAGTTCCTCAAAAATCTATTTTTTTAGAGTAAATTTTTTTAAAAAATGTTAATCTTTTCAAAAAAAAAATAATTTTTGGTACGGGAAGTTCCAGCAATTTGCCTTAAGGCACGATGCCATGCGCCCCACTAGTTTTTTTGGATATTGAGGATATGGGTGTCTTATGAAAATGTATACAAATCTTATTTTTTCCAAAAGGAAAAGTAGAGATTTTATATTGTTAATGAACATACATTTGTATATATATGCATATAATATCTATCTATATATATATATATATATATATATATATATATATATATATGTATATATATATATATATATACAAAATTCTACTTTTGTCTCGTACATAAAATCACGTTATCGTCATTTTTTGTATTTCTCCCATCTACTACGTTTTATTAGATTTCTTCACTCTATAGAAAAGTCGATTAAAGTTAAGAATTGTGAAGCTTCCGCATTTATATATATATATATATATATATATATATATATATATATTTATATATATATATATATTTATATATATATATGGATTATGGATTATAATGCATTTTATTTAGAGAGCTCGTAATACATTGCATTATATGACATAAATATTTACAGAACGCACTATTTGAATTACGATTTTTATATAATCTACTTTGGGCAATAATATAATATATGCGACATAGTTTTCAAACCGTTTTTCGACTTAGTCTGCATTTGAATATGCAATATCTTAAACCTAATCTTATGCACTTTTATTCAAGTCTTATTATTTTAGTAACTCTAAACTTAAAGGTTATTTGCAGTTTTCTTGCAATTAATTTAATGATATTATTCGTTCACCAGCCCCTGTTCTAGAATCATGATGTGTCTTTAAGTCAATTTTATCATGTGGACACATAAAGGAAATGATCAATATGGAATTAATTGTTCCACCTGTTCCATTGACATGTCGAAAAGGCCTTATGGCCTCTATTGTGCATTTGACTGCAAACATACACACACACACTCACAAACATATATATAAATATATATGTACATATATATATATATACATATATATATATATATATATACTCGGGTGTATGCTCTCGATATTCAATATGTCGAACCGCAATTGAACTTTGCCTTCTACGATATCTCGTAGCATTCTCATTAATGTATTCTCCACAGCAAAAGCGGACGAATAACCGCAAATTCCAAATTTCAGATAAATTTATATATAGGTACATACCTACATATATATTATACACATTTCTGTATAAGCATTATTTATGTTTTTCGAACTCGAAGTGTTTGCATTTGTAATATTTCCCAATAACTATACGCACAAATTGCATAGAAACTTTGTCATATAAGCTTATGACTCTAAATAAGTCTTATAAAGTACAATAAAGCGCGAGAGTTCGAGTTTTATTGATATTATTGCTTTTATTGATAATCTATTAATTTTAGCATTTGTTTTGAAAAATGGCTCTTGGAAGAATAATATATCGGAATTACATAGTTGTAGCATAAAAAGTCCTTAGTGTATAAATTCCAGAGTAATTTGGCCTCTGAGTTATCTGAAGATTATCGTTCATAATCACACTTGAGTTTACATTCGTATAAAATCTATTACAACTGGAAATGTTGTTAGAAAATATATTAAAATTAGTATTTGCGGTTACGTTACACACTTTGAGGAATGCCATGTTATAATTACGAGGTTGTAGTATGGATGGTGGGTGCGTCCAGAAGAGCTCTTAGAAATATAAACCATGGCAGAGCCATTTTATATTAGATGTTTCTTATTTCACTCATGCTTTGAACATATATTTGTGACAATATGTTTAATTAAAAAGCTGTTAGAAAAACTTATGGATATTTGTATTCATTATTATAATAGACATCTTGGAAAATGTCATACTCAAAATACATTTTTGTAGTACTAATGGCATGCTATGTAGATCTCTATAAATATGATAACTCAAAAGTTTAAGGTATTACTTATTGAGTATTACAAAAATTATTTTAAGGAATAGTATTTTCGATATGCGAAGTTGTAGTACAAACAGTGCCTCCTACAGAGCTTTTTGAAAATGTCAATTGTTTGAGGAATTAAAATCTGCATTTCTCTACAATGTTTTTGAACTCAACTTCAACTTCTTTTGAATGTTGTTTACACAATCAAGAAAAATTGTATTTCATATCAGTTATTTTATTTAAATTAACAAGCATTAAAAATATCTATTACCAAATTAGTATTGTGAGATTGATTTGTCTCAGTGACGGTTTTTGTTCCTTTTATACAGGAACCATAAACATAAAAATTATAATTATTATTATTATTATTTTTTATTAATTTAAATTATGCAATGGATAATTCATGTAAAAAATAAAAAACTATTTGGCCAATTAATACAACAGGACTACGTTTCACGAAATTGGCTTCCCCTCCTTCCTGACTTATCAACATACATTACCCATGGGCCATTATCGATTTATATATATATATATATATATATATATATATATATATATATATATAAACACTTTGTGTGCCCCCGCCTTCGAATAATGGAGATGTAATTATCTGCCTACACTGCGCCCCCTTGTGTGAATTTTAGTATTAGAACGCTAGATTTCTATAAATGTATTATATAATAGTTTGCAGGCTATAAAAATTTTCGGAAAAGACGACAAGTGGTGGTTTGGGTTGACGATGAGGTTTGGAAATAGGTCGATCTGGATGGATGACCTTAACCCGATGAAGTCGGTAGGCGTCGAGGGGTTTTAGAAAATGAAATAGAGATTTCTAGGGTTATATATATATATATATATATATATATATATATTAAAAAGACTTCGACGATATAACTTGAAGAGCAAAAATAAATTAGAATGGACACGCATTGGGAAAACAATTGAATTGATTCTTTTCATTATCCATCTCTCCATTCTTCTATATTTCTAATTTTTTTTACTACTAATTTTCATATGATCATATTTTATTTTGTATTTGCATCAGCTTTCTATCTTAATCTCCTAGGTGTCTAATTTTCTATATCTCACAATTTCAATATTTTATATTTTTTAACTTTCTTTCTAAAAAAGCTATTTTTTCAACTGTTATTATCGTTTTAATTTTTCATATTTCTTTAAAATATTTCTTACTCTGTATTTTTTCATCTTATCTATCTACTTACCTGTAGAGCATCCTCTCTTGTCTATCCGCCTCACGATAGATCCTGTAGTACATGTAGATCATGACCACTCCTGGGAACCAGAAACTGACGGTGGAAGAAATCAGGGCGTAGGTCTTGTTGACGGTGAAGGAGCAGTGCTCCTGATTTCTGCTCCTGGCAGACAAGTGCTCGCTGGTTGTGTACCAGCCGGTGAAGATTGGCAAGAAGGACATAAGGGCTGGACAGAGCCAGGCTGCTGCCAGCATCGAGGAGGTGCGTCCGTTGGTCATTATCAAGGGGTAGTCGAGAGGCCGCACGATAGCGTAGTATCTAAAAAGGAGACAACAGGGGTTGGATGTGGTAAATTGTGCTTAATTGAAGTTGACTACATACTTGTCTACTGATATGCAGCAGAGATGCAAAATCGAAGCGGTCGAGAAGTACACGTCCATCGAGTTCCATACGTCGCACATGAGACTCCCGAACAGCCATCGCCCCCTCATCACCTCCGTTAGGAAATTGAACAGCATGGCTCCCAGGACCACAAGCATGTCCGCCAGGGCTAGGGAGACGACGAACCGGTTTGCGATGTCTCGTAGTTTGCGGTGCCTGGCGACTGCCACTATCACGAGGAGGTTCCCTAAGAGGGCGCCCGCGATTATCGATAGCATTATGCATGATTTAATGACCAACAGCGCCAGGTCGACGACGGTGTCAGGGTGAACCACCTCCTCCTCTTCGCCCATGCATCCGTCAGGGGAAGGAGAGGATCAAGGCGGTGGTGAGGGCGCTGGGGGCGGCGGTCGGCGGTCGTGGCTATTTGATGTCCATGTTCATGCCGTAGGAACTGAAACCAGAAAAAAACATAATAATTATAAGGATATAAATAATAAATATTTAGAATTTTTTATTAAAAGATAAATTGATATTAGTAGATTAATAGATTATTTTTTATTTATATATTCCATATAAAATCTATTTAAAAGGTACCAAGATTATATTAAAATTTAGTTAGATCAACGTTTGTTTCTAGATGTTAGAAAATCAACGTCATATTGTATGAGCAATTTATTTCCGAATTGGTATGGAACCTTCGAAAGAGTATATATTATATATGCTTATCATAGACTCACTAAGTCCTCTTTAAGCCCCGTTGCTGAATTCCCTAAATCCTGCCTTGAGTCTTATTATTTCTTTCGACGATTCCAGGGCCGGATTAAGCGTTTCGTCCTTGCAGAGTCACTTGAATTATTCATTTTTCGACATGATGCACTTTCGTGCAATACTTACAAGTTGCAGTTGCAGTTGTTAAATCCGAGGCCGAGTAAATGAAATTTTAATTATTTATCGATTTGCAGTCAAATTAAATAAGGAACGATTGTCGAAGTGGCACGTTTTATTATAATAATTATTTTAGAATAATTAATGAACTTGTTTCAAAATTAATAATATGATAATTTGATAACGTCTAATATTATAAAAGCAATAAAAACTAGATACAAGTGCATAACATTCGGAATATTTAACCCATTCGATTGGCATAAATCTGGTTAGATTGAAATTAATTATTGATAGTAAGTATATATTTAAAATTGAAAAAATGGGCAATTTGTTCCGTTTTGTTAACTTTTACAAGTTTACAGCAAATACGGCCTGGCCGCCTGCACGATCAACCTGGATTAAGACTGTGCGTCGGGTTGAATGTAGTAGAGGCAAAAACGGCGCGGAAAAACTTCACAATACAATTAAAAGATAACGTCAACTACATTACAAGATACATGTGAATCATTCAATTAAATTTATTTACATTATATATGTATATATATATATATATATATATATATATAATATTTATCTTTGTCTATCGTCTTCGTTTTCTCCGAATGCGATATCAGTTCTGAATGAAGTATCGATCGCCCGTCGAGCTTTTGTACCGAAACCAAGCCATTTATATTATTTAAACCTGAATATGAGGCCAAGACTGGAAAATAGGTTACTTCGTAGTTGTACACGTATTATTAGATGCATTAAATATTGAAGAATGGGTCGAAAGGACCACCCTATTGCATATGAATACGATGCACCACGGATCACTAACAAGGAATAGACATATTTGTAATGATTGGTGGGAGTATTAAAGAAGCTCCACAGAACGCACTGGTCGTGCTACCTCTTTGTAATTTTAAAATGTAGTTTCTACTATAAAAACAATAAATACTCAAATTAATTTATTTTTTAACAAAATTTTTAGAGCCGGTACTTTTTAATGAGAAATACTAAGAAATACATTCTTCAAAACACTGTTGGTACTATATAACTTTCTAAAATTGATATATGCTATTGCTTTAGAAGTCTAATATTATAATGACATACACTAAAATCAATTTATAATGTTTGGTATTAATAATTTTCTGTATATGTTATAGTTGTTATGTTCTCTAAACAAAGTATTTGAGGACAATGCGTTTCCAAAGGGCTCATCAGGATGCACTGTTTATACTACAATTAACTTTATAGTTTGAAAATGCAAATATAAATTGGTTATGGGTTATAAATAACAATTGGCGATTTTCAACTTTTGAAATATTTAGTTTTCTTGGAGAAGTTTTAGGAGATAGAATCCTCTTGCCGATTTCGGTTCTGAATAACGGTATTTGTTTTTTAAGGAAATAAGTTGACTGGATTTAATAAAGTCTTACTCGTATTGAGAATCATTTTTATTTTAAATATTGGATATAGAAACATGTTGCAAGTTTAAAATTACTTTGTAGTGTCACACGTGGTAGATTTGGAACGTAGAATATAAGTCAATACATTGAATATTAATTTACTTAAAGGTATGAGACTAGTGTAATAAGATTATAATTCATTAAATCATCTTCATTGCATCATACTTAGCTCGAGGAACCACAAAGGGCAAATTAATACACTGGAGATAGTATATATTATTACAGGATTGATAATAATTGAGTAAGCTGTCTTGTAACTACATTTCATATTATAGTTAGTAAACCATAAATTAATTGAGAATTCTCTTTATAAAGTAACTCAGTTTAATATTAAACACAAAGAGATTACTTTAGGAGCACATTTAATATATGATCACAAAGTTTTGCAACTAAATATGCATGATCCTTAATATTAATTTTGTGTGATAAGTCAATTATTGAAAAATATTAATAATCTATTGTTAATAGTGAATAATGTATATTTAATTGTTGTTTATTTTTTTAAATATACTTTATAAATAATATATTAAATGAATGTTATAGAAAAGTATATCAAACTTTATATTTATTAACCAATACTTTTATTTTTTTCAGGCTTTTCAAGGATGTTATTCAAACAGTTAGTTTGGAATTGCTGAATTTCATTACAAAATGTACAATACGTAGGTTGTTTATCAAATAGGTCTTGTCCACAAAAGCGTAATTGCAATAGATAAATATTTGTTCAAGATTATTGCCAATCGATGGAAAATTCACACACAATACTCATGAAGGAAGCAATATGTTTTTCATTGAGGTAAAACAAAAACAAACATAAATATATATATATATATATATATATATATATATATTTATATATATATATATACATCTTTGGATTTTGCAGCTAATTAAAATCACAAGTTACTCAAGCGTTTATTAACTTTTGTCTTGTGATCCGTGTAACTTGTCAATTTACAAATATTCTAATGAACATTCACAAAATAAAAGCACGACGTTAATTAATCAAAAACGTGCAGTCAATATAAAAATTATCCCTTTTTCTCTTTGCTTTTCTCCATATTGTATATATACAAACATTTTATATAATATGTACGAATATTAATCATTTTGCTGTATATGTAAAATATGATGAATGAGCTCTCAACGTTTACAGTGATGATTGATTATTATAATATTGTAAAATTTGACACCATTTTCAGATTAAATCATTATAGGATGAAGGATTGTGCATATAGTTAAATATACAAAATTGATTTCAACACACTGCGTGCATATCGGATAAATGATTTATTTCTTGTATACATAATAAATAAGTTTAAATAAAAAAAATATTTACAAAACTATTAAATAAATTGTAGAATATTTCTCATAAAAGCAAAATAATGACTAATTTTTTAGATATATAAACAGTAAAACAACTTCAAACAAAATAATTATTTTATTATTTTATAACATACAAAAATAAAAATACTTTATAAATAAATAATAACTATAATATTTTTTAAACTAACATTACTCTTATAAATTAGTATTTATCATTAAATTCAACAAAAGAACAAATTATATACTTATCAAATATTAAACAAATTATTTAGTAAAAACAATAAACAAAATTTGTATTGTATTTATATTGTATTGTAAAATAGATTGTATTAGTAACAAGTATAATAAATTTATCTAATATGTATTCATCATATAATTTATAATATATTTTAAAACTATAATCAATAATTTAAAAAATTAAACTAAAAATATTGTTAATTATACAAATAATTATATAATTTACAAATATAATATAATTAAATATAATAAATAATTGTGCATATATTAATAATCATTTTATGAACAATAATATATTATAATAACATTGGAAAAGATTTTAGTTAAGTCATCATTTAATTTTGATAATTTGAAAATAATCATTATATAAATTTAAAAAATCATGAATAAGCCAGTAAAGTCATCAATAAGCAATTATAGCAATTATAGCAATAAAATTCAGAAAATAGAATGTTGTATCAATTGAATTAATATTAATTTGTAATATTTTAGTTGTAAAATGAAAAAGTAAGTATAATTTAGAAAAAAAAATCCTTTGAAAACTATAATATGTATTAAATAAATATAATATAAACAGCATATAATATAAACAGCAGTTAAAACAAAACACTATTAATGTATAATTATTTGTGAAATAAAAAGCACATAAAATCTATATATGATATCATAACATCAATAATATAACTTAAACTTATATTAAACTTAAGAAAAATAATATTATTTTCTAATAATTTTATTTGTTTCACAAAGAATTAAAAAACAATTTCAAAAAACAATTTGTTCTAATTGTAATTTTACAAAAACAATTCCATTTTCTTACTGGGACTTAAAAAGTAAAGAAACTTAAATATATTTCTTAATTTAATTTAAACAGAATTTAGTTAGAAAAAAATTAATTAGTATATATATATATATATATTTATTTAATTCAAATATAATATTTGTATAGTAAAAATATAGAATTTTAAAAGAATGTGATTTACTAACTCTAAACAATTTATGAAAACTGTTTTTGGGTTTGAAAATAAAATAATTAAATTAATATATAACTTTTTAAATATAATATCTATGAAAATAATAAATATAAATAACAAAATAATATAAATTATAAGTATAAACACGTAAATTTAATTTTCTTTTCAAATGCCTTTCAATGAAAAAATTTAATTAGCATTAATATTTTTATTTAATTCAAATATAATATTTGTTTGGTAAAAATTTAGAATTTTAAAAGAATGTGATTTACTAACAAGAAACAATTTATGAAAAGTGTTTTTGGGTTTGATAATATAATAATTAAATTAATATATAACTTTGTAAATAGAACATCTATGTAAATAATAAATATAAATAACAAAATAATATAAATTATAAGTATAAACATATAAATTCAATTCCCTTTTCAAATGTCTGAAAAAAACAAGCATAGCAAAACAATGATTATAACATAAACAAACTTGCACAAAATATAATAAACATTGCATATAGTATATGTATTTATAAATTATAACTTTTAACTTACATTTTCTAACGACCATGTTCACATATTCAAACACCTACTACCACACATCAATTCCAATAAACGCCTCTCGCACGCATGTTCGATTTTTTTTTTGTTTTGTTTTGTTCTAGGGGTTTTCTTAATTTCTACACCAGAACTTATAATGTACGACACACGAATAATTCAGCAAACACTATATTTGATTTTAAATTAATATTTAACGTAATAGTGGACACGTGTTTTAGTTTTTATTGTAAAGTCTACTATAAAATAACCAGAGGTCCTACTCGCGCGACGGTCGGAGGACATCTGGCGTAGCGGGCGCTTACGACCCCTATGCGGGGGTAGCGACACATACGAAGGGAAATCGAAACATAAATACAAATATATATATATATATATATATATATATATACATACAAAAGGTGTATATTTATTCGTGTGTGCGTAGATGTGCTTATGTATCAGTTTACCTTAGATTCCTCAGAGGTGTAAATGTATATAGTTAGCAATCAACTTGAAGCCTTAGTAATAAAATTGTATTTTGCAATTAAATCCTCAACAGGTCGTCAATTTGATTTTATGTATATATATATATATATATATATATATATAATATTATATACACCTATCCCACGTTTTACATGGTACTCGTTTTACACGTTTTCGATCTTACACGGTGTTTAGCGATTTTTTAACTTACCGTAGGATAAGTTACAGTAATCGCAAAAAAAATCGAGAATGAAAATTTTACGTTTCAAAGGTTTCTGCACATTTTGGTATACCTTAGAAAAAATGGATGCATGTGTGTGTGTATGTTTGGATACAATTATTCGTCCACGATTTCAGGCGCACGAATCAACCGATTTGAATGATTCAAAAAAACATTCGATTCCTAGTGATGAGAAGACGTGCTGATTAGTTTTTGGTGAAGACAGGTCCAGCCGTTTCGAAGATACGGTGCAAAAAGTGCCAAAAATGGTATTTCAGTTTTTGAGAGAGAGAAGTACTTGATTCGAATTATTCAAATCAAACATTCTACTTGTATTGATGAAATGAAGAATTGGTAAAATTTTTGGCAAGGCAGGTCTAGCGGTTTCGGAGGTACAGAGGTAAAAGTAAAAAAAAAATATTGGGCGGTCAAAAATGATTATTAGACATTTGCACATCAAATTATCAGATGTCTTATAGAGATTTTAAACATGACTGACCGACTGGCAAAACGAGTTTCTTATAGTGATTTTCTTTTAGGTTTTTCCATATAAAAATGAATTTTTTGAGTTACACGGTTTTTTATGGAACATATCTTCCCTATGTAATTGGGGATAGGTGTATATTTATTATTAGAGTATAATTTATTTTAAAATCTGTACGTTTCGTATGTAATCCTATCCATCATTCAGTGTAGAATTCGCTTATCCTGATATTAATATTATAAATAACAATAACTTATTGTTTGAAGATATATAAATATATAATAAAATTTATAATAAAAAGATCAAAAATAATTTTATAAATAATAATATTGTTATATTTATTTAAAAAGATACTAAAGTTTAATGATTGGACACCAATTCTTTCTGAAAAAGTTAGTTTTTATATCTAAGGGCGTTCATTAATCACGTGATCGATTTTTACAAAACTTGCGCAGGACATTTTAAAAATTGACTCCGTTTCTTAAACAAAAAACCAGAACCGTTTTGGATTATTTAAAAACAGTTGAAAAGATATCAGTTGGGAATCTAGCTTAGATTAGTTTGTGGTCCAATAATTTTATAACAAGTCAAGAAATATAATAAATCACATTTTAAAATAAAATATTTTTATTGGTCCAACAAACATTATGAATATATTACATATAAATATAAAATAATTGTACTATATTAATAATGTATAAGAGTGATTTCATATATTTTCTTCCATATCTGAGGTAGTCGTTTGAAAGGCCTTTTGTACAAGTTTTATTTGATCCCAAAATACAAGAACAAGCACCGTATGAGGACCAAGTCTCAAATAAGACGGCCAGAAACCTTTATAAAATCCATATATGCCTTCAGTTTTACACATTTTGTAAATACAATCCAATATTCCATTGTAGAGAAGAGGTCTTCCGTGTGCATCCAAACCTAAATTAGAAAAAAATCATAATACAAAATTATGTTTGTGTTTATGTGTGTTGTAATAATCAAACCTTGATTATATAATCTGGTAGCTATAACATCGAATGGTGTCATGGCTAGAGACATGAGGGTTCCGCCCATCATACTAGCCACAAAAGATATCATCAACGGTGAATCATTTAAAATCTAGAATATACGTAACATTGTAACAGTATCATGAGATAAATATGCATTTATTACAAATAATGTCTTACATTATTATTTCTTAATATTTCTTTACTTTTAGCAAATGTGACCAACTGAACACTTGATCCAACAGCTGCTCTTGGTATGGCCGAACTAACACCACGGTAAAGACCTATAAAAACAAAAATTAGTATCCCTTGACTAGCAAAAAAAATTAATATTGATTTACCTATTATTCCAGATTGTTTAAAAATTTTATACAAAGCTGAAGTCATGTTTTCATGAGAGTGTTGATGACCGACAGCAATTTGAGCTGCCGCTTTTGATTGCAATTGGGTTTTAATCTACAATAAGAAGATGGTGCTTATTGTTGGAATTAAGAAGAAGATGAGGTATACATACTAAGTAAAAAGGACTTCCTGATGATGCTCCAATGGCTCCACCAAGTGCACCAATTGCCATTGATCGAATAACTGATGAATTACCATTTTTGTCCTTGGTTAAACCGTGAGTGTCACAGATTTGGTAAGTTCCTAGTCTATAAAACACTTATTAATATATATATATATATATATATATATATATATATTATAATTAAAACATGCCTAAAACCATTAAGAAACAGTTGAAACCATAGAGCAGGAACAAGTCCATTTTGCAAAGCCAAAACACCATCGGTTTTAGCAATTGTTATAAAGGCATGTGCAAAATTTTTATAATGTATTGCATGACTTCCTCGTGCATGTAACTCTCCTTGTAGTTGCATACGAGTCTTTACCACCTACAAGTATAAAAAAACAATTAATAAATGACAATAAGAAAAGTTCTATGAAAATGGAGATGGATTAAGGAAAGATGATTCTAATAAGAATTTAGAGTGGAATCCAAAATTAATCTAATGAGAGAAACGTATTGTTGAGAAATGACATTGTGCAATAGTTGTAGTGAATATTTAAGACAAATATTCTATTTTGAACAATTTTCTATCCATCTCCCTAACCTCAAGAGGATTTGTAAATAAACAAGCCCCCATGGCTGCAATACCTCCTAAAGCGAAATCCATTGTTATTCCATTGATTGTTTAACCATTACTAATAAAAACAACATTATATAAGTCGCTAGACATTATAATTCACTAATTGCTATCAAAATTACGTTTTTTATTCGAATGACATTGGAATCTAATTTGACAAGTTTGAAATCTGTGCGCCATCTTACCTTTTAGTTTCACACCGGAAGTTCGAACCAGGATAAAAGGATACTAATATTTATTTTTAATAATAATAAACATATGAATTAAAATATTAATTGAGCTTGTAATTTTTTTAAGGTGTTTTCAGTCCATGGTTAGTTGAATTCTAATTATCCAGAAGTGTTGAATAAAAAATACCTAATATTTCCATCATGTCACCTCAATCCTCTTCTTCATCTGTTGACAAATAAAATTATGTTTGATTTTCGTATCAATCTCTCAAAACATCTCTTCCACAAGAGTCGTTTACACGTTGCCCCCTCCATTCATCAGACACACTTGTCACCTACTTAAAATTCACCTGATAAATCTTTTCTAGTTGTTTTTTTGCATTTGGTGTCAATCAACTACTAAACCAGTGTAATTGTTCTTTGAGTAAAAAAATTAAAACACTGTCTTTTGTTTTACAAATTATTTACAATAAGTTCAAAATTTCAAATTTACAAAATGAAAATAGGAAATAGGGACAAAAATATGATTTGAGTATTTTGTGATTGTTTCTTGAGAAGAGAAGAGGATTTTTCTTTAAAAACTGGTGAGTTTTTAATTCAATGATGAAATTGACATTGAAATTTATATTAAAAGGTGATAACGAGCCTGTAAATGAAATCTGGATCATATTTATTTGATAATTAAATATCTAATTGATAAGATATTTTAAAATAATCAATGTGGTTCAAGTAATTTTCACTAAAACACTCGTATTTTTTCTCTTGTAATTAATAAAAAGTTATTTTAAATTTTGAACAAAGTGTAATATATTATTAACAGGCATTGTTATAATAATAATATTATATATATATATAATAAAATAATTTTAATTTGAACAATGGTTATCAATTTAAAGAAAATCCTTAAAACAAAACAGGTAAACCTTTTCATCTAAAAAACTAATTTAAATATTTTATAAATTATCCTTATATATATACATATATATATATATATATATATATATATATATAATTAACAAGTCATATTATGGTAGATATAATATTTCTACTTCCATTAATGAATCTCCAAAGTTGTTGTAGGGTCTTCATGCATTAGAGAATATTATTTTTCATCAAATTAACTGAAATTCAAATTAACTGAAATTCAAATAGTTTGAAAGTTATTTAATATTTAATGGATTAACGTATTTTTGTAAAAAAATATTTTAACCTGTTTTTAATTACTTTTGTGGAACAAACTCGGTTTAAAAGTTATGGCCAGTGAATAAAAGTGTGTGCATTTTGTCACAAGACAGTTTTGATTTTAAAGTTTGCAGAGTTGCTCTACGAATTTTTATTTATTGATATTATTATAAATTCTTTAATCTTGTACAAGTTTGTTTAATATTTTAATAATATCAGAAAACATTTTGAAAGTAACAAGATATATAACGAATGTATGTCAAGAATTTTGAATCTGTGTTCAAAATAATTAATTATCTCTACCATTTATTCCTCTTTTCCAAATTTTTTTTCTTACTTCTTGGGTGCTCCGCCCCTGTTTTTCATCGTGCAGAGTCTCTACTATCAACAATAAAATATTTTGTCGAAAATCTTTTTCTTTTGTCGTCAAAAATAGTGCTTGCGTAAGTCTGGTAGGTCTTCTTGTTTGTCATATATTTACGAAATATAAAATTTGTTAATTGAATTTTTCTCTCTCTTCTTCTCATTGACGTCGTACGTCCATGTTTACTTTTGTAATGAAAAAAGCACATGGTTTATTGATATATGATTATATATATAAGATATATAAGAATGTATATATGTATCTCTATAATTGTATTTGTGGATGAAAACATGTCCACAAAATTCCGTGTGATAATGCAAATTATTCGAGTATTAGTACTAATTAGGAGACGTTTGTTCTGCGAACGTGTTTGTACGGTGAAGCATGTGATTTTAGTTAATACGAGAGATAAGCTGATTCTAACGTTGAATATAACATACACGCATTTTTAAAATATCTAACAGTCCATTGGCAAAATTACATATCCATATTTACTGGTAACAAATCATTTAACCAAATGTATCCTGCGTTGGGCAAAATGCCGTAAATACGTTGTACAATCATTTTCTTATTTTTTTATAATAACAATCATAACTTTAGTTATATGGTTGGCATTAATAAATTATAATTATGTATAGTAGTTACCCCAGTGAGTATTTGATGCAGTTTTACTAGATTAAGTTACCCACCTTGAGGAGGGCATTCATATCTTCTATAATATTGTTCTATTGATAATATTTAACTATTTAGTTTAATTTTTCTTTGCATGTCTTTAACTTTTACAATTGATGTTTAGATGTCCAAGAATATTATAGAAGATATATTGGGTTGTTCGGAAAGTAACTTCGTTTTTTATAGACAATTTGGCAAGTAATTTTCGTGCAATAAACACACACTTTAATAATTATGTATTGGCAGTTTTGAATAAACATTGTTTGTCATTTTTCTGGTTTCAGCATAATTTCGAGATATTAGAAATTTTTTGGTCGTTATTGGCAAAAAACTGAACAAAGTGCTTTTTGACATGCTGATTTGAGGTCTAAGTTTTACCGCCTCGGAACAAATAATGGCCTGATGATGGCAATTCTGATGAATGTTTCCTTGGGTTCCATTCGAGCTTCCAAAGCTTTAGGCGATTGACCAAACATATGTGAGGTCTTGTGTCGTCTTGATGCAGTACAATACCTTGCTTGTGGGTTAATTCTGAACTTTTCTATTGAAGTATATCATTTAGGTTATCCTGCTGATGACATAAGGCATCCGAATTAATCGTTATGTTATCCTGGAAAAGCTGAAAAATGAACAACTTCTTTAAAATCTTACCATACATACTACCTTTTTCTGGCAAATTTCAAATTTGCATCTGTTATGAGCAGATTCTTCTATTTTGTTTCATGGGCTATTGCGTGTATTGTATTCTTTACATTTACATTCCATTTGACATTCCTAGTCACAATTCTACAAAACCTGATAAATTTCAGGACTTTTCAGAGACGAATCGCGGAGGACACGCGTTTCTTTCTATGAGAACCATACATTGAGTATCGAAGACAATCCCAGACCTTTTGAGTGGTCATGAACTGTTAAATATGATAAATTTTAACTCAAATGGATTTTATGTATTGATCTTTGCCGGTTTGCACCAACTAATGCCTTTCTCGCGTCTTTATCAGCTTCAACCGCATTTCTTGGACTTGGTGCATCTTGGACATCAAAGTACCAGGAATGAAATTTAGCAAACCAATTTTGGCACTGTCGTACTATCAACACGTCATTTTCGTACATATCGATCAATTATTTCATTTTCAATAATTTCTTTTCGGCTTAAACAGTTTCTATAGCAAAAGAGTAAAACATGCCGAAAACGCTGCTTAATTCTTTCCGTATTCAAAGTGGCATCATCCAAAACTATTGCATATAATTGATTAGAACTATTTACACAAAAATAATAAAATATTTTGGCCTTAAAACATAAGTTTTCAAATCATAATAATTATAGGGCTTAAGTGCGATGTTAGGTTAAAAAAATAGAGCTAAATTATGGTGATAAAAAACGAATTGACTTTCCGAACAACCTTATAAATATGCCACTTTAGTAAACAAAAAACGTTTGACAGACTAATAAATTAAATTAAATTAATTAATAATTTATTGTTATTTTATATAAAATCGCCTTAAGCAGATTTTATATTTATAGTTTTTCGTAACAATCGTACAATAAAGATTCAATGTTAAGATTTTCAATTAAACTAAATTTGTATATACCTGTTACTCTATAATCACGAAATTTAAGTTACAAATTCCAAAATACTATAAATTTGGTTAATAATATTGTATTCATAATAGATGTAGGAACGAAATCCTTGGTTTAATTAAATATATTTTTTATTAAAAAATATAATTTCTAGATAAAGCTGTCGTTGCATTCAATTCATAGACTTGTTTTTTCGAAATACAACTTGATCTATTATTTGTTACACAAAATATTCATCTCTACAATGAAATTATTCCTTCTATCCATTTTAATGCGAAACATCTGCAAAAGCAAACAATCACATGAGGTTACGTATTGTGTGTATTAAAACAAACAATGTAGTTTGCTGTTTACTGAAAACATTATTCTAAACACAAAACTCTATTTAAACTTACATTAGTATTCACAAATGGACAGGTAGATAGATTTTTGTTTCATTTTGCCATTACCGTTTACTGGTTAATTAAGGAAAGAATTTGAAATTTAAAAACTATAACGACAGGATATGAGATATCTTTGAATTGTCAATGGCGAACGGAAGCACCAACATTGGCGAGGGAAAAAACCTAAAATAAGTAATAATGAAAATTTTAAAAATATAATGAAATGTAAAGCTATTTTACCAATAAAAGTCTAAACAAAGTATAAGTATATATTTAATTATAATATATTACTAAATGCATTTTTACAAGTTTGTAAAAGTGGCATTACTTGTAGAATAACTGCAATGGACGAGGCAATATATAATATTCAAAAACGAAAGCATAAAAAATATAAAATAAATTAAATATACACATTACTGCTCTTGTAACATTGTGTAAATTCATCTCATTTATTAATAATTAAAATTAATTATGATACATTTCTTAATAGTTTTTATGTATCTGAAGTTGTCGTCAGTTTTACAATGGACGACGAAACATGGCAGTTTGATCAAATATTTAAAAATTTATTTCACGTGTTTTACGCGATTTAATTACATAAAAATGTAATTAATCACTTTACACTATTCTGTTAGTTAATAATCTTATATATACGTTTTATAGCATGTAATTGCACAATTATCTACAAGAGTGTCAATGTTGATTTTATGGACGTTGAATTATTTTAATATGTATTTACACAGTTTACCATAAGCAATCAAAGATATTTAACTAATATATATATATATATATATATATTTAAATTAATAAATAATAATTTTGTAAATTCAATTCTAAAACTATTATGTACATATATGAAATTTATAAATTTAAAATTATTTTTTAAAGCATTTGGATTCATGGATAAACGCTAAATATATAGAACAATACTCTAATCTATCCCTTGAATTAATTCCGCATTGAAACTATTAGCAAAATACTCACATTCTCTATAATTTTTAACTACTACATTTCTAAAAGATTTGTTATTTGTACTATATTTTTAAACCTCAATTACTCACATTTCCAACTTTAGTAGTTGTTTTTTTTTTAATAAATAAATTGTTCTAACATACAACCTTTTTATGGTGTATTTAATAAAACTGATATAAATTTTAATAAAATATAAAATTATTATTAATAGGTAAACAAAATATATAAATAAATATAATAATATAGTAATATACTTACCTTAAATATAAAAATATACATGTCAGCTTATTATAATCAATTAAAGAATTCTGTTAATAATTAACTAATTTTGACTATATTAAGTAATTATATAAAAATATGTGTTTGTATATAAATAAAAAAAAATTAGTTAATTAATTAGTTCATCAAATCACTAAGTAAATAATAAATGTTTTGGTAAGTTTCAGTTAATAATTTTTGATATTTTTGTCAAGTATTATTATAGTATAATTTAATATTTCTGTTGAATATATTCAAAATTACATTCAAGATATGATATATTACTGCTGGTTTCAGTTTGTTGCTAATTAGTTTTTAACTTATTAGCGTTTATTAGTGTTAATTACCTCAGCATGCAGACTTGTGAAACTATCGAACAAATTTCAGTGAATTGAACAAAATTCTATTTTTGAAACTATTATTATTTCATATAAAACTACATAATTGAGAATTCAAAGTATATTTATAATTGTAAATTTCCAATCTCCTTTACAGGGCTGAGAAGTTGCCAAAACGCCGCAACCAGGCGTCTTCTCGGGCCTATGGTCCCCGCAGGGGGCTAAGCCCCCACAAGGAAACGATTCGACGTCACAGGCGCCTCCATTACCGCCGAGGAATAATATCACTTTTGCAAGACAATCGAGTTTTACAAAATTAGGACATATGATTAATACGGCTGTTCATAGTAAAAGTAAAGGTTGGTGGAAGGAAGATGTCATGTCATTGTTTTTATACTTTGAATTATAACGGATTTAATACAAATAGCAAAACTTCTGAAAAATTGTACGGAATTTTTTTGAAAATTTTTTTGTGTATCGAAAATAATTCAAATTTCAAATTCAATTATGGCTAAAGTTCTAAAGCTCTTTTATAAACTTTAAATGAATAATTTTTACCTTGTTATTTAATTTATATAATTTTTATAAATAAGTATTAGACATTATTACAGTATATCTAATTTATTTGAAAACATTTAATATTCCTCGAACATTTCGTTGCGGTACGGGAAGTTCCAGCAATTTGCCTTAAGGCACGATGCCATACACCACTAGTTAACTGCCCGTAAGGTAAGTTATAGTAATCGCAAAAAAATCGAAAATGAAAATTTTTATATATCTTTACGTTTCAAAGGTTTTTGAATATTTTGGCATACCTTAAAAAATGTGTATGTATATGTGTGTGTGTGTGCGAATACAAATTTTCGTCGACAATTTCGGGAACACCGATCAACCGATTTAAATAATTCAAAAATCATTCGATTCATATTGATCAGGAAACGTGCTGATTAGTTTTTGGCAAAGGCAGGTCTAGCCGTTCGGGGCAAAAAGTGCCAAAAACGGTAATTCTGTTTTTAAGAGAACGGAGCGTTCGATTTTAATAATTCAAAAAAGATTTCACTTGTATTGACAAGATAAAGAACTGAGTAAATTTTTGGAAAGGCAGGTCCAGATGTTATGGACTTGAGATAGAGGTTATGTACGTCAAATTATCAGATATTGTATAGAGATTTTAATAATGTGTACACATTTTGTGTAAATTTTTTTGAGTTCCGTACCAAGATTTTTAATTACGGTACAGGACGTTCCAGCAATTTGCCTTTAGGCATGGTGCCATGCACCCCCCTAGTTAATTTTAGCCTTGGATGACTAATTACAAGTGTTGTTCATTTAAAGCATGACTTTATATAATTGTAATTCAACAAATAGGATTATGTTAAATTTTGATCATTATTTTGTAAAAATTTTGACACTAATATAAAATCTGTTTTCATTATCCTTGTTCTGTGGTGCCATCTATTACCTTCCGGGTCCACTCATAATTCGCACTCAATACAGGTGGTAGCACTGGTTAATGAACTGGTTCGCAAGGACGAAACTAATTTCCCCTCCTCTCGCACACGTTTTGGTCAGTGTCGCCATTGCACCTTTTTGCATTTTTTCTACGGGCAATTGTTTGTAATTTTAATGTTAAGTTTATGATTGAGATAAAACTAATAACGTATTCCTAGCGTGTAATTGATTGTGTGATAAAGTTTTAATGAATTTCTGTTATATAAGTGACAATATTTGATATGGCCGGTGAGTTTGTATGCGTTTTTGGGATTATTTCGCATAATTTACAATGGATAATGGATACTTGATAAAATACTAGGAATTTGTGTAGTTTTGAATATGCATTCACAATATAGTTGTGCAATTATTAAACAAATACTCGTAGATTCTTTCGAATTTATAATTTTTGACGTATAATGATTGTTGGTTATGTAGCGTCTGTTATTGTTCTAATTTGCGCAATTGAAATGCCCAACCGAAATTTCTTATTAACAACATATTTATAATAAATTTAGCGATCTAGTTATGCTTTTATTTCTCCTGCATCATTTATTCCAAAAACAAAACAGTACCACCAAAAAATATTGTTTTATAACCTCTATCAAAAATCAAACAAGTTCAAAATTTTCAAGTACATTTTTCTGAAATTTCTTATTTTAAATTAAGTAATAATAAAATAATATCTATTATTGGTTGAGGACGTGCATGGAAGGTATATTTCATGAATTTTATATATAAATTCTTGGCATATTTAAAAAATTAGTAAGCAAAACTTTTGGGCTGTCAACTATTTGACATTTTGAAAACCATCAAATATTTCATGAATGTTTCCAATTATTATATGGAAAATATTATAATCAAGTACTTTAAGTCCTTTTGTTTAAAAAAAAAATACATTTATGTTGTACATGATGTTAAGCATGATTCAATGGTACCTTTGGATAAGTAAGAAATCTATTTTATTTAACAATTGATACAAGGATAATTAATCTGCATAAAAACAAATGTTTTTAATGTGTTTTCTTCTATTTTTTATTTAGGAAATGGAGACACGTCGTGGTGTTTTTCACAAGTTAAAGGAACGCTAGAAGATGATGTGACTGAAGCAGATATTGTTTCTTGCGTTGAATTTAATCATGATGGTGAACTATTAGCCACTGGTGATAAAGGGGGTCGAGTTGTTATATTCCAGGTCAGTGCTGTAAAATATGATGGGCAAAGAATTATTACAAGATTATTAATAGATAGATATAAAAACTTATTTTAATTATGCAAAATTAAAAGCATTATATTTGTTTTTCTTTTCAGAGAGATTCCGTCTCAAAAACTTCAATACCCCGTCGTGGTGAGTACAATGTATACTCAACATTTCAATCTCACGAACCCGAGTTTGATTATTTAAAAAGTTTGGAAATTGAGGAGAAAATTAATAAAATTAGATGGCTCAGGAGAAAAAATCAGGCACACTTTCTTCTGTCGACCAATGATAAAACTATTAAATTGTGGAAAGTGTCTGAACGTGATAAGAGGATAGAAGGTAAACATAAACACAAAGTTATAAAGGATAGTTATAAATGCAAAGGATAGATTTTAACTTCTATTTTATTCACAGGTTATAATACTAAAGAGGAAAATGGTCAAATCCGAGACCCAACCTTTATTACCTCTCTCCGAGTGCCAGTTATTAAACCTATGGAATTAATGGTTGAAGCATCTCCCCGTAGAATATTTGCTAATGCGCACACCTATCATATAAATTCAATTTCTGTTAATTCCGATCAAGAAACCTATTTATCAGCAGATGATCTCCGAATTAATCTTTGGAATCTGGAAATTACAGATCAAAGTTTTAACATTGTGGACATTAAGCCCACAAATATGGAGGAACTGACTGAGGTCATTACGGCCGCAGAGTTTCATCCGACCGAATGTAATCTTTTTGTTTATTCCAGTAGTAAAGGTAATGCTAAGACCTATTGATATGAAATAATGATTTTGTTGTTATACAAGTTTTATAAATGTTCTTTCTTCAGGCACAATACGCCTTTGTGATATGAGGGCCAGCGCCTTATGTGATAGGCATGCTAAAATGTTTGAAGAGCCTGAAGATCCAACAAATAGAAGTTTTTTTAGTGAAATAATTAGTTCCATAAGTGATGTAAAGCTTAGTAATTCAGGCAGGTATATGATCTCTCGAGATTATCTCAGTGTTAAAGTATGGGATCTTCACATGGAAACCAAACCTATAGAAACTTACCCGGTAAGAGAAAACAATATTTATCTCACAAAACAATAAAATGAGACAAAAAAAATATTTTTATATTACTGTGACTTTTACTTTTCAGGTACATGAATATCTTCGTGCAAAACTGTGTTCATTATATGAAAACGATTGTATTTTTGATAAATTTGAGTGCTGTTGGAATGGCAATGACTCTGCCATAATGACTGGTTCCTACAACAACTTTTTCCGTGTGTTTGATCGTCAGACTAGACGAGAGGTGACTCTGGAGGCTTGCAGAGACATTGCTAAGCCGAAGACAATCCTTAAGCCTCGCAAGGTTGGAGTTGGTGGCAAGCGGAAGAAGGATGAAATCTCTGTTGATTGTTTGGATTTCAATAAAAAAATACTTCACACCGCTTGGCATCCAACGGAGAATATAATTGCAGTGGCTGCCACTAATAACCTCTATCTTTTCCAAGATAAATTCTAATGTCTACTAAATTGTCATTTTGTTCCTATTGCAACTGTTCTTTTTTCCTTTGATGTAGGTTAATGATATTACTATTATTATGAGAATTTTCATATGATTATACTTATTTAACAAAATGAAAAAAAAAATCGTAAATAAATTATATTGTACTTGATGAGATTGGGATTTAGTTTATTTTCAATTTTAATTATAATTATACATTTTATGTTCATTACCACAGCATGCGCCACCCCTTTCATATTAATCACAAATTTCAAACTCTCGATACAAGATCTCATAATTTTTCTGTCCAATGCAAGCTGCCAGTACATTGCTAGTGGATTGACTCAAGTCTTGGGATAAAATTTGAAGAAATTCTTGAGGATGCAAACTGCGATTTTTTGACAAAATAGTTGTCAGAGCTGTGATATAGTTTCGTGCCAATCGTAGTGTCTCAATTTTTGATAGTTTTTGTGTCTGGCTGTAATGGGGGCTGTAGAGCTTCAGATTTTGGGTCTGGATAGGAATACACCTGTAATAGAAATAGTAATAATAGTAATGGATAGGTAATAATCTTAATGTTAAATTATTAGCTGCTATGAGACTTTTGTGATGTTAGATAAAGTCATTGCTGATTTTATTTTGTACATATTTGTTCTAATGCAGGTTTTATAGTACATACATAGTTCATCTAGTTATTCCAAGATTCAGTAAATACATAAATTTCATGTATAAATAGTTGCTTATCATTTTTTAAATTAGTCACAGTTGTAGATTACTTAATTTTGTGAAAATATGTTAAATGCAAATGCATCTTAATTATTAATCTTTTTTATAAAAAGTTATGTAAAAGGCAAAGAATCAAGTTTATGTATCGATATTAAATTGTGTTTATAAAGTAAATCAAGCTGCTCTAGAACATCTCATTGTTCACAAATTCTAAACCACTCGTTAAATTTGAATGATGTATGGGATGCATTTATTTAAAACTAAATAATTTACAATTATTTCATACAACATATAACAACAGGGCAATTCAGAGTGCTCTAAATCCAATTTTAGGAGGTACCTTCTTAATCGGTCCAGGGCTGCGTTCAGTCCGTGCATGCGGTTCCGTTCGCGGGCGTTCGCTTTGCTCCTGCGAGCTTTCAATTTAATCGAATTTCTGAAGGAATCGGAGAATGATTTCTTCCTTATCGAGTTTTCCATAGTCATAATAATGATATAAATATATAACTGTTATTTTTTTAATTTAATTAGAGGATTTCTGCTTGATTAATAAAATATCAATGTGCTTTCATACAAATTTATTACAGGAGCTTTTTATCTCATATGGACAGGTGAGAATGTACAGAACCGTATTTGCGTAATTAATGATTATTTTTCTTTGTAGGTACCGCAATTATTATTGCGAATGGATTTTTTGTACTCCAGGTGAGGTTTTGTGGAAAATGGTTGTACATTCAAAAATACTTACTAATTTTGAATGTTATTTTTCATAGATTCTATTACGATAGGTAAATATTAAAACGGATGCATTTTTCAACAAAGTTTTGATCTATGAGAAATTTTGTTCAAAAGCACCTTTGACTGGTGCACGTTTGATTATTTTACATAGTTTCAAGAAGCCCTCCAGGACACATAGTACTATGATCTTGTGATTTGAACCTGTTAATATCCAATGAATCTATTATGATGACAAACACTAAAATTATTGGGTTTTCAATCAATAATTTGAGTGATAAAACGTTTCATAAATTAGCACTCTTTGTCAGGTCGTTACCATGTATTTATAAGAAAATTTACAGGATGCACTGTTTATTATGTAAAATTGTAATTGAAATATATGAAAATACTATCTGAAAATATATTTAGAGAACTGTGCAGGACGCACCGTTAGTTTACATTGTAATTTTAATATATTATTATTTAATGAGTTTACTATAATTATTTTTTTTAACAAAAATACAAGTAAAAGATTTTATTCGAACAAACTTTTTAGAACATGTTGAAGAACATTAATAATTATTAAGTGATTAAAAAATATATTTTTTAAATAAATAATTATGTATTTATTTAAACGATTGCGATTCTGTCTCTTCTCTTGTTTTTCACAAATCCAATAAATTTCATTTTTCCTTATCAGCCCCCCGAAGTGCTGATTAGTTAAGTGGTTTATTCAAATGTGTAATATTTAGGCGGTAATATAGGAGATTAGATAATAAAAAAAGCTTTTGAAGGATTAATATTTAATAAAAATATATATATATAATTAGCACACTATGCTGTCTATAGTACTCTAGCAATTTTTTTATGCATTTATTTAATATTTTGAAAATTTGATATTGTTAAATACAATTTATGAGTATACTGACATGTTGTAGAACATTGTGGTTTTAGACAATATTGTTCATTATATAATTTTATTTTTATTATTTACATTTATTTTTATTCTATAAGTTTTTAGAGATTTAAATGAGTGGCGTTGGTTAAGTATATTTTTATATTCTGTGTCCTTTATAAGTATAAGGATAATATATTATAATAGATACACACTATACAATTACAGTATACAATTTAATTTTGTCTAATATACACTATACCATATAAAACAAAATTTATTTACTAACGTTTCAAATCATTTTTAATAATGTAAAAGATTCAGAAAAAATAAATACACTAATATTTTCACTTTTATCATCTTTTCTAATTATAATGACCTACAGCAACCTACATATTATATTTAACATTTTTTATAATAAGATTTATGTTTTATTTCAGTATCACCTGAGCCGCCGAATATGGATATGCTTAGAGGACATCATCTCATAATCATCATCGATATTGATTTATTTATACATATGCAATATATTATAATATATAAATACACGATGTAATATAATCGAAAAATTATAAGAAAATGTTCATAGTTGCATTTTATGTATAGGTGTATATGTAAATGAAATATATTCATGATATAAACGAAAAACATTTATTTTATTGTCCATTATAATTAACCATTTATTTTTATATTTTTTTAAATTATTATGTAATTATTATGTAATTTTATAAAATTGTTAAAATTATTATATCAAAAGTTACAATAAATAATATATTAGCTTGATAAAATATGTATTACCAATAAACGTAATAATATATATTATTAAGTATATATTTCTTATTCTTATCACATTCCTCTTATTCTATTTTTTTTTCTTCTTGATTTTGATTTTCAATATCATAACTTTTAACATTAATTTTAATACATTGTATTGTAATCTAATTGTTAAAATTAGCAGAAATAAAAAAAAAGTATATTAAAAATACTGGTGCCATCAGCCGCGATAATTGCAGCGCAATTATTTCGTTTCGGAATCGAAAAATCTACCAGGAGCCCAGACACTCTCCGGTCATTAAGTCTATCCATATAACATTGCTTTTCTCATAAAGTCGAACAAATTTCGGTACAAAAGCGGCATGAAATACCAGGGTAGCAGACACGTCGGAGTATAAGAAGAGAATTGTTAGCGATATTTTCGGCTATTCTTATTGGTTCTAGGAAGTCCTCTTGGACCAATCAAAGCGTTTCAATTGCCTACCGAACGCAAGTCTTTCATATATGTATGCTAAACAAGTCGTTCAATAAGTCAAACAAATTTCGGTGCAAAAGCGACATGAAATACCAGGGTAGCAGACACATCCGAGTATCAAAAGGTAATATCTTATTGGTTGAGGGACGGCCGGTCGGACGAATCAGAATGTTCCAATTGGAGACCAAAATCATGTTTTATATCGTATGTAGACGATGAAACAAACTGTCATTGATTCAATTTTGACGTTTATTTATTTATATTATGATATACAATGATATTTTAATATACAATTTATAACAAGTAGTTAAAATCAGAATATACATAATTTCATTTATTATTCTCATTAAACTTTTATCATTGGCAAAGAAATCATCAGTTGAATTGACAATTAGTGAAAAGTTTTGTGAAATTGATATTATTTATTGTGGTTTTAGTTTAGTTAAAAGTGGCTATGGTTTTTTACTATATTAACTTTATTTTTACTAATATAATATACATAATTTCATTTATAATTCTCATTAAACTTTTATCATTGGCAAAGAAATCATCAGTTGGATTGAGTGAAAAGTTTTGTGAAATTGATATTAATTATTGTGGTTTTAGTTTAATTAAAAATGGCTATTGTTTTTTACTATATTAACTTTATTTTTAGTGAGTAGAATAGATTTAAAGAAATGTTGTTGTGGCTTAGAAGTAGTTCTAGTAAATTCTAATTATATAAATATCTAAGATCCTCAACACGAAGTTTTTCTAGCTGAATCTAAATTTTGGGTTCTGGATTTTCTAAAAATAGTATATTTATATACAATGGCCATAAATGAATATGTTATATGTATATAATATAATTTAATTTAAATGCAATACTTTATATCTTTATTATAAGTTTAAATAGAACATTAAATTAACCTACAATCTCATTTTTGCTTTCATTTATTATTAGTTATTGTTGTGCTACTATTACATAACTGTTCAATTAATTCACTAGTTCAAAATTTATTTCTTATTTATTATTTATATTTTAAAATACAGACCCGATCCTTTCCAATATGTCTCGAATGTCAGCATTCTGCACCTAACCCAAATACTTTGGCTTTATAACTTAAATATATCAATACTCTCGTGTTACATTGACAAGAGTATTTAGGTAAATAATTTTACATGCTCACAGGCTTTTCATGTGAATAAATTTGTGTTTTCAAAAAGTCATTTTATTTAGTTGAAATTCATTGCAAAGGAACATAATTTTTTCCAGTAAAAATTCAAACAAACAATTCTAAAAATGTAATCTTAATAAGCAATAATATTAGTTATGATTACCATGTTTCATTATATATGTATTTGAAGCCTAATAGTTTGTCAGGGAAATAATATCTACAGGTGTAGCGCAATTTACAGAAAATTCAAATCGATCACTATGAACTTATATCTACCTGGATACTGGAATAGTAAGTATTTTGCAATAAGCCATTTTCATTAATAGTTGAATTATGAATCTAAATATATGCATTTAATATCACTTTATAAAGTTAAGGTTATAACCAAGTTCCAATTATTTTTATATACCTTCATCAAATGTTGATTAAGAATACGATATATAATACCATAGACCTGAACAGATACACATCATTGTACAAAGATTCAATTGTTGCTTAAATCAATCATTAATTCAAATAATTCTTTCTTTAAGTTTAATATATAATGTTAACTACTGCCATAAGAATAATTCCAAAAATTAAATTTAATATGACACAATAGTTTTTAATTTTAAAAGTCATTAAAAAATTTGTAATACTTTGCAAAGCGTTAATTATAAAAGTGATTTGCAATGGCTTAGCTTTGCAATTCGATTTTCATGTTCTAAATTCTACTTTGTATAGTCATTTTTTCTTACTTGTAGATCATCTTTGCATTAATATGTTCTATGATTCATTATTATTTATTATTTTCAATTTCAAGTTCAAATTTTATTCACCATTATTCATCTTGTCTTCTCTGCAATGGATCAGGAGATCAATTTTGTTTCTTTCTGGATCAATCTTGAACCTAAATCAGGTAAAAAATGTTAATAAACTGGCAATAATTGTTGATGACGATTTTTAGAATCATGATGTTTGTATGAAATCAAAGAAAATTCAAAGATTAAACATGATAAAAAAAAGAATTAAGTGTGCACTGATATTTTTTTTGTATAAGTTAAGAATTGGCTTTCAGTAAACTTGCTGTTGAGTAATCTTAACTTAAAAAAAGAATTCAGTATCAAATGATTAATATTTTTTTTAAGTGCATAACTGCAAAGAAGAAGCATACAGTATCACTTATTGGTATATAATAACACATATGTGTTCGTTTATTCTACCGAGGATCTTCTTTGTAGAAAAGCACAATCTTTGTGTTCAAGTGCATAATAAGTTTTCTTTTAATAATTTTTACTTTGTACCTTCTTGCCAATTGGAATATATACTCTGAAATGGAAATGGAGTTTAAATGTTTCCTATGTGTCTTCTATAACTTTTAAACTATATATTTGATAATGATATGTCTTCAAAGATGGTTAGAAAGTAAAAGTTAACTATTTATTTTCAATATTAAAAATTCTTATATTATACTGAATCTACTCCAGTATGTTTTGTATCAAGCGTGATACAAAATTAAATACATATATTATTTGAAACTTGAAGTAAAATGTACAAAACTCAATGAATTATAATTTTATTTTATATCATAAGGCCCTATAATAAATTAGTATATTCAAAAATCGCCTTAAAAATATATAATATCCCCAAACAGAAAAAATTTTTTAGTCAAGTTTTGAACCACAGATTTAAAATTATTTAATTTTTAAAGCTTTAAATAATTTTATGATCATTAAAAATTATTAAATTATAAATATTAATATTAATTACATATTTAATATGTAAGAAATATATTATTATATTATTATTACTTATGTATTATTATTATAGTATTATTACAATTGAATATTGAAAACCATTATTCTATTGATCTATCAAAATGTTACTATGGATATTCCTGCAGCTCTGAAAATATTGATCAAACTTCTTTTTGTTTACTTCATTTTTTTAGCGATTTATAAAATACAAACATTACTTTGTAGAAATTTAAAACGAGCAAAATTACAAAAATGTGCGTCGACTTCTTAGATCATGGAGAAAATATTTGTGATATTTTGAAAACCATTGATAAAACTTATCATCATGTTGATAGGTAAAAAAGTAATAAGACAATAAATGATAATAATATTATTATTATTATTTAGCAATCTTTTATGAATTATTTATTATTGATAGATGTTAACACCTAGAATATTACAATTATAATTAATAATGATATTAGTTTATTATCAATTAAAAATATTAATTGATAATAAACTAATAAAGTTTTCATTCTATTACCTCCAGGTATCAGTCTCAGCACAAAAGTGCCATTTTAAAAGAAGTTTCCTCCCGGAAACCGACTCATCGCACAATGGGTCGCCCGGAAACAGCGCCTCCAGACCCAAGAGGTTTTCTGAGACAAGGAGCAGGCGTTGGTGGCGGTAATTATTCAAGGATGCCCCCTGTCAATGAAGAAGGACGAAAACCAAAGTGTTTGCTTGGAGAGGATTGCAAACGGGCTCCTGTTCCACCTAGAGGTAATAGTGTAGTTAATTTGTGTTTTTTTAATGTGTTGTGCATAATGCACTATTAATTTATGTTATGTCTTAGAGTGTCTACTGATCCACTAATTCTAAAATTAATAAGTTTTCTGATAAATATAAGATAACGGAACGTTTTATAGGAACTCGCGCCATTTGTCATCCACTACCATATATTTTGTCATATATATTCAACAGTCTTGTAATTGAAATATACTGTACCCTAAAGGGTCTACTAAAACCACAAATAATAAAACTGATTAGTTTTATAACAAAATGTTATGTTACAAACGATTTAAAAAAGTTTACGCTTGTCTTGATTGGTTACATGTAAATACTCAAGAGGCAGTGCAATTCGCAATTTCATTGTTGATAAAATATTTATTCCCCCCTTTTAGCTAAATCCTGTTCCCCCCGTAAAAAAGGAACGAGGCTTTGCGAAAATTGTTTCACAGAGTTTGAAAAAAACTGGAAAACCCACAATATTCGCAAAGCAGTCAAATCGAAACCAAATGTTCCTCCAGCAAGATTTGTTGATGGTGCTAAAGGTGATACATTTGAGTTGGAAAATTCAGGCTTGATTCCCAAATATATCTACAAGAAAAATTATGGAAAAATACCCAAGTACATAAAAAAGTTTCAAAAGGAACGTGAAAATGCAGAAATGATGAAACTGCATGAAGAGACTGAGAGAAAATCGAGACAAGCGAGAAATGGTTATGTGTCTCAGGAGGAAAGAGAGGAATTGTTACATGTAAGAAGGAATAAAATTATATATTCCATTTATATGGGACTTATATTACCCATTTCTAAATTACTATATATAAATATATTTTTTAGGGACTAAAGCACAACAGAATTGAATTGTTGAAGCAATTCAATAAACTGCCACTGCTAGTCGATACCATCAGTAAAGCCAATCAGAAAACAATGCTGGAAATACAATTGAGGACTTTAGAAAAAGACATACTGTCTCTGGAAGCCAATAAATATATTTATGTATATGATGATCATAAACACCACTGCCACTGTGGATGCCATTAGAATAAAGTTTTTTTTTTATATAAGTCTAATATGCAAGAGAATCATATCGATGTAGAACTCAACATTTAATTATTATATAGTTATTCTATAGTGATAGTAGTATTATATTAGCTATTATTATATTATTCTTATACTTTTCTTGCTAAATTAAATATTTATTGATAATTTATGAGACTTTACTTGACATATTGTATTTTATTTATATATTTTATAGTAATATTATTGCACATTGTACTATTTATGATAAATACAATAAACTGTTAATATTATATTTTTTAATTTATATATATTATATAATATATAAATATATATATATATATATATATCTATAATATTGAAATATTGAAACGTATATGTTTGAACGGTTTAATTTTATGTGAAAAGCTTTATAAAAAAAATTACAAAGGCACACTATCAAAGAAACTAATATTTAAAGCTTGTTATTTAGGCATATCATTCTTTTATCGTCTATTACAAAAACGAATACAACTTATAATCCAAAAGTTTTGTGCAAAGTCAAAAGTATTATGAATATATACTTTACCATCTATATAAACTTACCGAAAATGCCATAAAATATTTATATCTCATCCAGATCATGTAATTCCTTAATCTGTCCATTATTAAAGCAAATATTCTATATTCAAGAAGTTTTCGTCCATAGTTTCAAATAAATACTTGATATATACTGAAAAATGTAAGTTTTATCAGAAAATTTGAAGAAATGGTTAAAATATGACTTAAGAACAGCTCTGTCAATTTCATTAGTGTATTTGATAACAATGCATTGTTATAACAACTAAAATATAAGTCACATATGTTCAATATATTTTCACGATCATGTATAAAAATCAAACATATTTAAAATAACGAATAGTTAATTAAAACAACACCAATTAATAAAAAAAGTGCGCCATTTGTTTACTGGTTCATGAGTCAGTGGTGCCAGCTACAAATATAAAAGTGTGGATGAAAAAAATTATATTCTAAATTTATTTTGTTTTGTTTGAATATTTAATATTTACATATGTATTCATTGCACTACTATATAATAAACTATATAAAAACGAATGTGTAATATAACATTTCGCCACTATTGCGAAGGATTTGAACTCTTCTTTTATCTATGGATTTGAAGGATTAGGTTTAGAAGTCCTTTTGTTGTCATCATTGCAGAATTGTTGATTTGTTGCTAACTTCACTCAGTAGTATTAAGTACCATATTATACTATTAAAATTATTCAAAAACAATTATACATAATTATCTAACTTTATGAATAAATCGAAAATCCCAAAATGTCACTTTTTGAATTCGTACTTAATTTAATCCTCCTGCCATCTATCAGTCCATTATCCCATCTGACACGTGGTGTTGACCAAGACGAGCACAAAGCTAAACACAAGACACAAGACAAGCCACTTCTCTAGTCGCATGTCTGTCTTGTGCAATACATTAAAATTAGCAACGTTTTTGTACACATATAGATCGTAGGTAGCCAAATTGAAAAAGTTTTTAAATGTATTTTATAATTTAGCATGTATTAGAGAGCATCATGACGTATTGCGTACAAAGGTCGTGAAACGGCTCTGTGATAATCTAACAACAAACACTACACATTGAGAGATTTGGATCTAGTCGCAGTTGTTTAGTTAAAGTGAATGGCAGGAACGCATTTTAGACTTTGGACGATATTGAAAGTGTTGGTTTAAGTTTAATTAGAATTAGGGACACACGAGCAGACTGAAGGGATACAATTAGTTTGGCCTACTTAAGGGTAAGTGGTGATAGAAATAAATATACACATGTATCACTGACTATAACACATCTGTGTAAAAATCTTATTATCACACTAATCATTCCTTAATTTTTTTAATACTTATACAACAATATAGGCTTGTAAGTAAAGTGGCCTTATTTCTGTACGGGTCAGAAACATGTAGTCGGTCTAAGGATTTATTAAATTTAATGCAAGTTGCATCCTTACTTCAAATTGTAACATTGAGGAGCATTAGATTTGAAGACTGGAACATGATATTTGAAAAGTAAATTATATGCAATCGATGATATAGGCAGTTTGTATTTTTGGATACATTTTACTCATTGTCTTCAATTCAATCAAGTAAAACTTTTATAAATTACTGGATTAACAACTAGAACACTGGATATGAAAAGGAACTGAATGCAATTAATAATTACTGTTTTAAGTACATTTGTTACTCTTATTGTTAGTATACTCGTTGTACTCTGCTTTGTCCTATAAAACTTTATCCTATGTATTACATTATCTTTTACTTATTGAAGTAAATATACAAAACTCTTAATTTCTACTTTTTTTCATATATTTCTCAACAAGGCATTACTCGAGTCAATACCATCTCTACCTAGTCTTTATTTAAACATCTGCATCGATTTACAAATAAAACATGTGTTTTTAATTATTTACACACCCTCACAATGTTTACATAACACATGTGCAATCTTTTAAAGTGTAACATTATAAATAACATTGAGTGTTGAAAAAGTAGGTCATGTTTAAAATGTCTTCTAAATTGGTAATAAAAATCATATGAAAACTATTATTACTAAGTTTGAAGACTTAATTGTACGTTTTTAAGTCTTTGAACAGGTTTCTGTGCAAATACATGTTTTTATACCTGTGTAGTACTCACACAGGTATATAAATCTATAGTGGGAGCACTGATGTAGAATTTTACTCAAAAGAAATGAATATAAATATGAATATAAAGCCCCAAATATAAAATTGAGTATATTTGAATTCTACATTCTTCTTAATACTACATATATATTTATATATATATATATATATATATATATATATTGTTCACATATTTATACTCTTCCAAAATTTTTATTAAGGGTGCAAACGATATAAAATTGAATATATTAATAATATATTTTAATTCTAAATTAGTCTTGTAAGTTTATACAGATTTTTTTATATGAAATTGCCGCCCACATTTTTGACTATTTTAACCGATTTTCTTTTAAAGAGCTCTCAGGATTAATTGTTTGTTACTCACAACCTTGTTATTTTCACATAATATTTTTCAAAGTGTCTATTATACCAACATATTCTACAAATATGTCTTTTAGACACGTTTTATAATTACTTATGAATGTTACATGCATATTATTTTCCAAAATTTATTCATTCATACATTTTGTCCGACCTTTTATTTATTTCTTACTATATTTCCCCCGGAGCCCTTTCTAATCTTGGTGAAAGTCTCTCTCTCTCTACTTTTAAACGGTGCATTTTGACCTCTGCCAAGTAAATTCTAATTTAGAGATTATTTTATGTGTGTCAAATAAATAAATAACAAAATGTTCATTAATGAATCCTGTTTTAGTAGAAGAAATATTAAACGGAATGGAATGCAATTTGCAATGGTGGAAAAATAGCGAACCGGCAGCTTTTCCTGCTTTCACAACTAGGAATATATTAATAGACTTTCTAAATATTTATGTAACAACTTGGAAGGAATAATAAATAGACCAGGATTGATATATTTGGCGAATGGAATGCATGTATATTTTTTTGTTTTGAAAATTGGGAAGGAATTATAATAATAAGGATAAATTATGCGTGTTTTTATAGAATACATATTTATTGTTCTGAGATCTTTATGAGAAAAATAAATCGGTATGCATTTTTTTGTTGCTTTCATATTTATTTATTAATTTTAAAAGTTGTATAATGTTGACGGGTTGTAAAATGCGCATGAAAAATTATTAATGAGAAAGTTATTTCTATTTCTATATTATTATTTTTTGAAAGGTTGGCATATTTTGAACTTTGGTTCATGTTGGGCCATGGCGATGCAAGACACCATTAAAACAGCTTGCAAATAATACAGGTTTTTTTATATTTTAGCATATATTTATCAAATCAAATTACCAAATTACCCTTAAAGTGCATTTTTAGTTTAAACTAAAAGATCTCTAAAGGATAAACACTTCGTAAATTCCTGGTGTTAGCGACAGATTTTTTCAAACCAATATCAATATTTTTGATGGCTGGCTTATCAGTTAACGGTGCAATGGATTTAATTTTTTATACTGATAAAATATTGATTTCCTACTTTTTATCAGCACATAAAACACAATACAAAAGAGATTAACTTAATACGACCAGAAACCGCATTTTGTAATAATAATAATTATAATAATGATAAACTAGCGGATTTGCAAAAGACTCAATTTTTTATGCAGGTGTTTTTGGATTGCATATATAGGACCGTAACATTAATTGCAAGTAAAGAAATATTAATTACAAGTAACTTATTTTAAATTTACATTTCGAAAAAAAAAATAAAGTTTGTTATAGTAATAATACAGCTAAGTCGAGATGCATATTTTTAGATTAAAAAGTTTGGTAGTTTGTCCAAAGTTAATTGCTGTTAATGTTAATTAAATTATCTTGCATTATTTAATGTTAAATTTTAGTCAAACACAAACATTTTTAATAATTAATATTCGTACCAGACATGATAATATGTAAAATTAACATTAATTTTAGATTGTGTGTTTAAGCTCCGTAAATGCTTTTTTATTTTATAAAGGCGTCTCTTTAATGCTGTTTAATTAATTGCAAGTAATTTCATACCTTAGTGTATAAAAAAGGAGTCTTATATCATCACATGACACTTGAGCAATTATCTTTATGCAATGTGATACGTCTACATTTTGCCATTTTGTTTACTTTGTTATTGATAAGGATTAAATAAATAAATAGCATACAGAAATAAATTATATATAGTTCGTGCATAAATAACAGAGAGCCCCACATCAGAGATATATTTTTTTAATTCACCACTTCACGAGATTCTAATTCTAACTAATTTTTTTTTGCGAGATCCAACCGTGTTCCTATGCACGTACCTAGGAGTAAGCCTTTTATCCAGGTTTCTAATCCCTGACTATTTGATAAATATCATTTCCTAGCAGCCAAAACATATCGTAAATTGAATTAAAAAAAATTAAGTAGGTCAGACGTCATCGTGAAGTGCGAGCGCGTATTTGATAAAATGATAAATAATAATATTGTAGACGTACCCAAACAATAATTAATAATAATAGTAAAAACAATAATAAAAGAAAGGGGGCTTATAAAATTAATAGGGTGCAAATTATAAGAAATACTATATATCAAAAATTGCATGTTTTCAAAATAGAGTTCATCCGTCATTTGCTTATAATTTGTATTTATGTTAAAAAAAACATCGATTTGTATATAATAGAACATTTCAACATTTTTATTCATAAATTTTTCATAACAATGTATAAGGTATAATTGTTTTTTTTTTTTTTTTTTTTTTGAGAAAATAACGCATTACCAAAAATGTTGCTTTTTCATAAAATATAAGATTCTTTGAAGAATATCTAACTTTACTAGAATAGGTCGTTATTATAGATATTAAATATTGAAAAAATATCAATGAAAATTAATAAAAAAGTTATGTAGAATTATTTTTATATTAAAAGGTCTCCGGCGCCCTGTCTATTTGGTGCCTCGTGCGTAGTAAATAAACATATATGGATCTTCGCTCCCGAAGGCAAAGTTTGCGTCCGCGATTCTAAAACTTTTATTGATACGTATCAATACTCGAAGTCTAGCAGCAAAATTTGATTTCGCGGATATAACAGATAAATTGATACCACCACCGCCAAAGGTCTTGTATTATCAGATTCTGGAACATTTTGGTCGGACCGTAATGTCTTTAGGAGATGACTACACTATGATCTATTGGCTTCTGGTTTATTGACCACACGAATCATTGGGTTCATGAATAGATAATCCAATAACTTTTAGACCAGGAGAATCCTTGTCTCGAATGATTCTTTGCATTCTAAAGCATTCTTGTCCTGTGTGACTCCTTCTACTAGAAGAATCCTTGTCCCATGTCATGACTTGGCCAGAAGAGTTCTTGTCTCGAATGACTCCTTGAATTCAAAAGCATTTTTGTCCCGAATGACTCCTCGACTAGAAGAATCCTTGTTCCAAGTCATGGTTTGGCTAGAAGAATTCTTGTTTCTAGTGATGACTTGGCTAGAAGAGTTCTTGTCACGAATGACTCCTTGCCTAGAAGAATCCTTGTCCCAAATCATGACTTGGTCTTGGGTGATGGTTTGGCTAGGGGAATCCAAGAAGTTTCATTCCTCCTGACTACCCTTTACGATCAAATGTCTTCAAATTCATATCCAATCCAATCTTCTATAAACTAACTGCGAGGTTTTACAGTTTTGACGATATTTATTTGCGAAATAAGCACTTTGTGGCGGTCTTTGCGGACGAGAGTCTCTTCTATTTATTTGACCTTGTTTTATCATTCGGAACGATTATAAATATTTATATATGTACATATAACCATCTATCTTAATCATCCTCGTCATCATAATCAAGTAAGGTGCTCAACTTTTTTTATTGCTTATTTCCGCCAATTAATTTTAGTTTGAGAAATGAGCAATTAGAAACTCGACCTTGACGTGAAAATTCAGGAGTAAATGGTAATTTCGTGGAGGAAATTAACGTGGATCTGTCTGATGGATAAAGTAAGAGTCAAACGTTGTACTATAGATGTTTTATTGATAGCTAAATTTAGGGAAAGTAGTACGATGAATGGAAGTCATAGATAATAGTGAATTAAAGAGTGATTCCAATATTCATGATTTTTTTGTGGTTATGTCTGGGAATGAATTGTTAAATAAATAGTTGTCTGATGGAAGTAATATTTATCAGTATTTGTCTTGCGG